CGCCTGTACTTGAATCCTCTCACCATGAAGTCCAGCATACCTCTTCACTGCTGGCTGTGCCTGCTTACTTTCAGCAACTGGTATAGAAGGACACAAAAGTCTCATTGCCATTCAGATAATAATCTGCCTTCCTGCTTTTGCTGCTAGTGTAGTTAGCCTCATGTTTATCCACATTGTACTTTATCTGCTGTATGCTTTCCCACTCCAAATCACATTGAAGCATCTCTGCACCCTCTTCACAGTTCATCTGGCCAGCTAGCTTTGTGTCATCTGCAAACCTGGAGACATTACAACTAGTTCCCCTCCCTAAATCATTAATATATATTGTGAATAGCTGGGAGTGCAAGCATTGATCCTTGCGGTATCCCAAAAGTCACTGGTTGCCATGGACAAATGGCCTCCTTCAGCACCGTACCAATTATGTAACATAAAACACTATTGGGTCTTGCTATCAACTTCTAAAACTGCTGACTTTTCCCAGATCATCTTAGAGTTCAGTTATCTAATGGGTACCTTTCTGTTCTGCGAACCTTCCTTTTAGACCTCTCTCCATTGTTCCTTCCAGCCTCACATTTAACAATACATGAGAGTTTTCTTTGTCATTGAGATCAAGGCAATTTGATCAGCTGCCTCTGCTGCACCATGCCTTTCACTAGCTTACCTGTTCAAATAACATTTCATGTTATCTTTTACTAGACTACCTGGCCAAACTATATTTAATGCTCCCTGCTGCCACAGTCCTGAACTTGTAAACTTTTGCTAGCTTTTTGCTCAACTCTTCTCACACTCTCTCTGATCTCATCTTATCCATCTCACAGCCTGTTCCTTTGATCCTGTTCCACTAAACTTCTGATCATCTCAACTTCCTCTCCTTGTCTCCTTGTTGCCCATAATGATGAATATTCAGTCTTCAGAAGTTGTCCCTCTCTTCTTTAAATCCTCCATCACCCCAGAGCTCCATGTTTGAACGCTACCAGATTAGCACTGCTGCCTCACAGTACCAGGCACATGCATTCGATTCCACCCTTGGGCAACTCCACGTGGAGTTTGCACATTCTCCCCCTGCCGGGTGCTCCAGTTTCCTCCCACAGTCCAAAGATATGCAATTAGGAAGACTGGCCATGCTAAATTGCCTGTAGTGTCTAGGGGTGTGTAAGTTAGCTGGATTAGCCACGGGAAATGCAGGATTACAGGGAAAGGGTAGGGGAATGGGTCTGGGTGGGATGCTGTTTGGAGGGGCAGTGTGGACCTGCTGGGTTGACTGGCCTGTTTCCATACTGTAGGGATTCTGTGATTCAATCAGATTTCTATTCCTGCCATAGTAATGAGACAGGTCTTATCAAAGTCACAAATGACGCCCTATGTAACAGTGATGAAGGTAAACTTTACCTCCTCATCCTCGAGACCACCCTGCAGCCTTTTGCATGGTTGACTCCATCTTCCTTGAAGAGCTCTGGACTATTGTCTGGCTGAGTGAGACACCTGTCATAGATTACATTGTTATCTGTCTAATCGTAACCAGAGAATCATCTGCTCTGGCTTCTGTTCCTGCATGTTTTGATGCCTGTCGCAGATTTATACTTGGCCATCTCTTAATCTCCCATCCACATGTTGCACTTGGTGACATTATCTGAAGGCACGGCATTAGTTTTCACATGTACGATGCCAACACTCAGGCCTGTGTCACAACATCTCTCTCAACTCGTCCATTATTGCTAAATTATCAGAACACCTTTTCAACACGATGAGCATAAATTTCCTACAATTGAATACTGGGAAGGCTGAAGCAACTGTTTTCAGTCCCTGATCCAAACTCATTCTCCATCTACTGACTTCACCCATGTCCCTGGCAAGAGTCTACGATGAAACCAGTCTGTTTCACAATTGTGTCACACTTGATTCTGAGATGAACTTCTAAAATCCTATTTGTGCCATCATTAAGATCATGTGTTTCTGCCTGAATAATATTACCGGACATCACCTTGTTCCAGTTCATCTACTGCTGAGACATTCGTTCATGCCCTTTTAACATCTAGACTCAACAGTTCCAATGCAATCGTGGCTGGTCTTCCACACACTAACCTCTGTAAACTTGAGACCATCCAAAACTCTACTGCCAGTACTTAATTTGCAGCAAATTCCTTTCCGCAATCCACTCTCTGCTCCCTACACTGAGCTACTTTTACTCACAATCAAGCTGTGCCTTGATTTTAAAATTCTCATTCTTATTTTCACATCCCTCTATGGCCTTGCTTTTTTTTAATGTTATCTGCTACAACCCCACAACATTCTGCTCCAGGCCTTTTTGCACCCCAGTTTTAATTCCTTCACCATCTGTGGCTGTTCCTTCATTGCTGCTGCCTCAAAATCTGAATATTCTCCCTACACCTGTCTGTCTTTCTAGTAGACATTTCTCCTTTAATAATCTCCTTAAAACCTATTGCTTTGACCAAATGTTTGGCCATCTGACCCAACATCTGCATTTGTAACTTTGCTGTATAATGCTTCTGCCTTGGTATGGTTTCATGGGGTTAGATTTTACAGACCATGCTGGTCTATTTGCAGGTTGTGTGGGGTTGCAGGGATGGGGAGGTGGGTGCATAAAATAAAGTAGGTGAGCAGAAGGCACCCAGTGTCCCCATATTAGAAGCTGAGGGTAAGTAGTCAAGCAACCTCCCTGCCTTTAAGTCTATTAAGGCCCTGAATGCACAATTAACTGACACTTAAATGTCTCATTCCACCTGTACTACAATTTTTTGTTCTGTATGGGAAGGCAGACCAGCAGCTCTGGGCAAGGAGGGGGTGGGGTCACGAGTTACACCTTTGGGGCTTTCCTATACCAATGGCCAACTCCCCAAATGGTACCCTGTTCGTCCCTCTTCCCCAGCCTCCCTAACACGACCCCTATTCCCACCCACCCTACGGCTGGGATCTGCCATTCATGCCTGTCCAAATACTCCAAATTGTTTATGAGAATAGCTGTCCCTGCAGAAATGACCGCTACCATCTTCTGGTATAACACAGTGTGCAGCTGGAGAAACACAGCAGGCCAGGCAGCATCAGAGGAGCAGGAAAGTTGATGTTTCGTGTTGGGACTCTTCTTCAGAAAAAAAAATTCTTCTGCTGCTGCTGGGATTACGGAGCTGTGGGCCAGTCAGATTTCCTGTCCCTGAGGGTGACAATCCATTCTGCACTAATGAAGATGGCTGCCAGTTTATTACTGCTGGGCAGCTAGATTTTCCATTGGTAGATGCTGACCAAGCCTTAGGTCTGCCCATCTGCTTGAGGAACATCCTCATTATATGAGAGGCTTTATATAAATGTAGGTAGTTGTTGTTTCATTCTGAAGTATTGTTTTTAATAGCCTGTATGATTTTAAGTGTTAGAATTTAATTTAGATTGAATTAAGTTGGTACCATACCTATTTGTACTTCCTTCATTCTGGAAGACACAAATTCTGTGCATGTCACAGATTTCAAACAGGAGCAGTGTAGAATTAGCAAAATGTTAAATGACAGACAGTGAATTCCACTCTGATTTGAAAGAGTCCTTATTCATTTTTTCTATTGATTCGACTTTTTTTTTAAAGATCATCTTTCAGCATTGAAATGTTGTTAAACGGTGTGACTAACTATAATTAATATTGAGCGCTTAGTTTCCCGGGAGATGAAAACTGACGTTAAGTGCCTACTTAGGAGTCTCAAGTGGCTCTTGCAGACATTGGTATAAATGCACTGGGGGCAGGGGCAGATAAGCAGGTAGACAGCAGGCAGCTTCTCCCACTCTTTCGTCATACCCATTGGTAGAGGGAGCATTGAATCGAACCGTTATCTCAAAATTAGAGTCAGGCCATTTAGGATTGAAATCAGGAAGCATTATTTCCCACACAGTAAGTAGTGGAAGTCCGCAACTCTCCTCGGTTATCAATATCGATATTGATATTGGAACAATTAAGCCTTTTAAAACTGTAATCGATGAGGTTTTTCATTTGAGGGGGGTACCAAGATAAATGTAGCAAAGGCAGGTGATTGGGGGTGAAGTACACATCAGTCATGATTTAGGGGCTGAAGGGCTGAATGGCCTACTGCTAAATGAGCTTTCTTTCTTGAATTGCTGGCTCTTTGCTGGGATATGGTCTACGTGGACCAATATTTTACAGGTTAGCCATACAAGTGTCAGCCTCAGTAGTGGGTTTTAGCAGTTCAATTTTATCATAGGAGAGGGGAAGCATAATGCAATTCCTCACCAATGCCCACAAACAAAAATAAAGGCCCAGGAATTTGAACCTGACAGGGTTTTCCTTTCGCTAAACTAGGGACTGTAGCAAATTGTATTGCTTCACCCGTGTCTTGGATGAACCTAGCTGCTTCAACACTACTTCCAATTTCAACCTAGGAGTATTCACTGGATAAATCTGCCAAACAGTTATCGGAGCACTGTATATGTGCTTTAGCTGTTAAGGTTAGACCTCTGCTTTTCTAACTTTTCCATAAGGAAAAAATGCAATATCCTCCGTACCAACTGTTCAGGAAAGACCAATTGAGAATTAAAGATTGCCACATGGAGACTTTGGGTAAAAGTCCCGTGTTCGGGAAGAGCAGATTCCTAGATTTACAGTCTGTATCATCATGTTTTCTAAGTATCTTAAAGCATTTTGTGCAATTGAATATCTTTTGGCTGTTGCATGCTCTGTGACCAGTAGCAATATACCTTCTGTATTATTTTCCATCATTTCAAGCTTTGTGCAATGGCAACATTTTGTTAAGTTCAAAATTTTCCAGAGAAGTTAAAACAAATCTTGGTTTTGGCAATTATACATGCTTTTTTACATCTGTTTCCATTTCTAAAGTCTTCCTGCTTTATTCATTTTTCCAGCTGAGAGGCCTCTCAATTCTGTGTTCCAGACTATTGCAAGGACAGCCCAAATTGCCACACTACCCTGCTGTGGCCAAAGCCTTAAAACCATATGAAATGCTGTGTATCAACAGCTACTAAAGCACCATTAAAACAGCAGGAGGGTGTTGTATTTATTACTGCAGCTAAAGATGTCACTGGTAATTTTCCCACACAAAATATGTTAGTAATTGCATTTAAAATAAAAGTATATCTAATTGCAGCAGTTAATTGTTTAATTGCCTGTATTTTGTGAAGGACTGTAGAATCTTTATCGGGCCTTTGTAACAAATAGGACATCCTAATTATTTTTCCTGTTCTTTCAGCTGTGCAAGAAGAGCCATAACTCAGCAAAGCCTTTTCAAATTCATTGCTAGCCTTTTATATTCATCAGTAAGCTTCCACAACATTGCCACATTACATTATTGAAAACAAAGCTCATATTAGATTGTGCTAGAAGTTCATAAGTCATATTGGTCTTTCTTTGTATAGCCAAACACTGTCTTTCCAGATGCACTGAGTGCTCCTTATAAATCACCACTGGTTTGACATTAAAATGGCCTTGTGCTCGCTTTGCCTACTGTGTCTGAAATTGATAATATGGCACTCTAACGGCGCTGATTACGACAATAGATATGGGATCTGACAATATTCCATAAACAGCACTGAAGACTTGTGCTCTAGAACTAACCATGCCTGTAGCCAAGCTGTTCCAACAGTTATAACACTGGTATCTACTGGCAGTGTGGAAAATTGCCAAGGTTATGACCTTCAACAAAACACAAGACAAAGCTAACCTGGTCAATTACCACCCTATCAGTCCACTGTCTATTATTAGACAATTGATGGAAAGTGTTGGTGACAGTGATATCAAGTGGCACTTACACAAAAATAACCTACTGAGTCATGCTCTGTTTGGGTTCTGCAAGGCCTACTGCACTCTTGACCTCATTGTAACCTTGGTTCAAACATGGACAAAAGAGTTAAACTTCAGAGGGGAGTTGAGAGTGTTTGTTCTTATCACCAAAGCAGCATTTGACTGAGTATAACATCAAGGGGCCGGTGCAAAATTTGAGTCAATGGGAATTTGAGGAAAACTCTCTGCTGGTTGGAGTCATACCTTGCATAAAGGAATGTGGTTGTGGTTGTTGGAGGTCAATTATTTCAATCCCAGGACATCTCTGCTGGAATTCCTCAGGGTAGTGTATGGGCCCAAACATCTTCAGCTGCTTCATTAATGAATCTCCTGATAAGCCTTTCTTCCATCAAAAGGTCAGAACTGGGGATGTTCATTGATGATTGAACAATGTTCAGTACCATTTGCAACTCTTCAGATGCTCAAGCCATCCATGTCTAAATGCAGCAAGACTTGGGCAACAATCCAGGCTTGATCTATTTAAGTGGAAAGTAACCAGTGCACCACATAAGAACCAGGCAGTGACCATCTCCAGCAAGAGAGAATCCCAATGATTGACCCTTGATAAAAATAACAAAAGAACTGTGGATGCTGGAAATCTGAAACAACAAAAATTACTGGAGAAAGTCAGCAGGTCTGCCAGCATCCGTGGAGAAAAATCAGAGGTAATGTTTTGGGTCCAGTGACCATCTTCAGAGCAGAATTGACCCTTGATATTCAATGACGCCACTTTGGTGAATCCCTCAATATCCCTCAATTGGGACTACCATTGACCAGAAACTGAACTGGACCAGTCATGTCAATATTGTGACTACAAGAGTAGGTCACAACAAGAAATTCTTCATCGGGTAACTCGAGTCTTCAGTCTTCAAAGCCTGTTCACTATTGACAAAGCACCCATCAGGAGAATTATGGAATACTCTCTACTTGCCTAAGTGGGTGCAGCTCCAACAATCCTGAAGTTCTTTGGTATCATCCAGGACAGAACAGCCCACTTGATTGACATCCCATCCATTAAAATAAACATTTACTACCAACACAGCAGCATATGTTACACGTCATCTTGACTTTGGAACTGTATCGCTGTTCCTTCAGTGTTGCTGGGTCATAATCCTGGAATTCCTTCCCTAAAAGCACTGTAGTTGTTTCTACACCAAGTGAAAAGCAATAGTCCCAGAACGCAGTTCCCATCATCTTCGCAAGGAGAATTAGGGATGAGCAGTAAATGCTAGTCTAGCAAGTGAATGCCATGTTCCCGTGAATGGGTGGCACAGTGGCTCAGTGGTTATCATAAAACATAACAGCAGAATTAGGTCATTCGGCCCATTGAGTCTGCTGTGCCATTTGATCATGGCTGATATGTTTCTTCTGCCTTCTCCCCATAACTCTTGATAGCTTTACTAATCAAGAACCTATCGATCTCTGTCTTAAATACACTCCATCACTTGGTCTCCATAGCCCTCTGGATTCAACACCTTTGGGTTAAATAAATTCCTTCCTCATCTCCGTTGTAAAGGTTCATCCTTTGACTCTGAGGCTGTGCCCTTGGGTCCTAGTCTGTCCAACTAGTAGAAACATCTTCTCCACATCCACTCTATCCAAGCCTGTCAATATTCTGAAGTTTCAATCAGATTCCCCACTCATCATTCTCAACTCCATCATGTACAGACCCAAAGTCCTCAACTGCTCCCATATAATATGTCCTTAATCCTTGGGATCATTCTTGTAAACTTCTTCTGGACCCCCTCCATGGCCAACACATACTTCCTTAGATATGGAGCCCAAAACTGCACAATATTCCAAATACAGTCTGCCCAGTTCCTTATACAGCCTCAGCAATACATTCCTGCTCTTGTACTCTAGCCCTCTTGAAATGAATGCTAACATTGCATTTGCCTTCCTAACTGCCAACTGAACCTGCATGTTAACCTTAAGAGAATCCTGAACTAGGACTCACAAGTCTCTTTGTACTTCAGATTTCCATATCCTTTCCACATTTAGAAAATAGTCTACGCCTCTATTTTCCTACAAAAGTGTGTTACCTCACACTTGCCTACATTGTATTCCATCTGCCACGTCTTTGCCCACTCTCCTAGCCTGCCCAAGTCCTTCTGCAGCCTCTCCGCTTCCTCAACACTACCTGCCCCTCCATCTATCCTTGTGTCATCTGCAAACTTAGCAACAATGCCCTCAGTTCCTTCATCCAGATCATTAACGTATAACGTGAAGTTATGGTCCCAACACTGACCCCTGCGGAACTCCACTAGTCACTGGCTGCCATCCTGAAAAAGACCCCTTTATCCCTACTCTCTGCCTTCTGCCAGTCAGCCAATCCTCTATCCATGCCAGTACCTTGCCTCTAACACCATGGGCTCATATCTTACTTATCAGCCTCCTATGCGGCACTTTGTCAAAGGCCTTCTGGAAATCCGATTCCTTAATAATGGATTCTAAAATCTTACCAATGATGAGGTCAAGCTAACCAGCCTATAGTTTCCTGTCTTCTGCCTCCCTCCCTTAAACAGGGTGTTACTTTATCCATTTTCCAGTCCCCTAGGATCCTCCCTGACTCCAGTGATTCCTGAAAGATGACCACTAAAACCACTACAAACTCCTCAGCTATCTCCTTCAAAAACCTGAGGTATAGTCCATCTGGTCCAGGTGGTTTATCCACCTTCAGACGTTTCAGCTTCCCCAGCATCTTCTCCCTAGGGATGACCACTGCACTCACCTCTGTCCCTGATTCTCTTGAACCAATACAAAGCACCTATTCAGTTCCTCTGGCATCTGTTGTTCCCCATTAGAACTTCTCCAGCCTCATTTTCTAGCAGTCTAATGTCTACTCTTGCCTCTCTTACCTTCTTTAAATATTAAAAACAACTCTTGCAATCTTTCTGGTATTGCTAGCTAGCTTACTCTCATATTTCATGTTCTCCTCCTTTATTTCTTTTTTAACTATCCTCTGGTTTGAAAGGCTTCCCAATCCTGTGGCTTCCCACTAATCTTCACCATATTGTATGCCTTTTCTCTTGCTTTTATGCGGACCCTGATCTCACTTCATCAGCCGTGGAAACTTCTGATGTTAGTTTTATTTTAAGTCCATGTTATTAATGCAAAGGTTTGGATAAGTAGTCTTAGCACCAAACCTTGTGGAACAACATTTTCTTGTTTTTTTCCAAACCAAATTGCTTTTCTGTGTGTTTTTTGAACTAATATGCTCGGCATTCAGTGACCACCCCCCCCCTCAACTCAATACACATATCGGACCATAGGAACCAGGAGCCCCTGAAGCCTAATGATTATGGCTGATCTCAACTCCACTTTCCTGCCCACTCCTCACAATCCTTCAACCCATTATTCATTCAAGTGTCCTGGCATCAACTGCACTCTGGAGGAGTGAATTCCAGAAATTCATTGATTCCACCCTGTGGAGGGGTGCACATTCTCCCCGTGTCTGCATGAGTTTGCTCTGGGTTCTCCTGTTTCCTCCCACTATGCATATAGATAGGCTTGATGGCAGTTGTCTTTTCCCCAGGACTGGGGGATTTCAAGAGTAGGGGGCACCTTTTCAAGGTGAGAGGAGAGACGTTTAGAAAAGACACGAGGTGGCAACTTTTTTACATAGAGGTTGGTTTGCATGCGGAATGAACATCCTGAGAAAGTCGTGGGTGTGCGAACAATTACAATGTTTAGAAGACATTTGGATAAGTACATAAATAGGAAACGTTTGGAGGGTTATGGGTGAGGAGCAAGCAGGTGGGACTAGTTTCATTTGAGATTATGATTGGCATAGACTGGTTGGATTGGAGGGTCTGTTTCCACGCTGTATAACTCAATGACTGTATGTGCAGGTTGGGTGGATTGGCCATGCTAAATTTTCCCATAGTGTTCAGGGATGTGCAGGCTAGGAGATTAGCCATGGGAAATGCAGGGATAGGGTAGGGGTGTGTGTCTGGGTGAGATGCTCTTTGGAGAGTCAGTGTGGACTCAATAGATGGCCTGATTCCACACTGTAGGAATTCTATGATTAGAACATAGAACATAGAACTGTACAGCACAATACAGGCCATCGGCCCATGATGTTGTGCCAAACTTTTACCCTAAACCTAAGGTCTATCTAACCTCCACCCCTACCTTATACTATCATCCGTATGCCTATCTAATAGCTGCTTAAATGCTCCTAATGAGGCCGACTCCACTACCCTCTCCATCAATGCATTCCACACCCCAACCACTCTCTGAGTC